GTGCAGAATGTAACGTACCATATTTTTCGCACTATAAGTCATGTTTTGTTTTTGCATAATTTACATGCTCTGCGACTTATACGGAGAAGCGACATATTTATGGATTTTTTTCTCATAATTATAAACCATTTTTTGGCTAAGATATGACCGTTTTCATTCATTCTGACTGAAAAAATTTGAGCACTACCACTTTCAGCTACTAGATGGCACCAGAGTAGCATAGCATGCTGTTGTGTCATGTAATAGGTAAAAGTGGCTATTAATGACGCAATCGGCTTGCCATAGCCTGCCACCATCGTCCAGCTCCACTAGAGCGAAATGAAGCTGATTTGACCATTTGAAGTGCATTTATTAAGGAAAAGTTCAACTGAGACGCATCTTTACTTTAATGTCGAGCTACCAAATAATTGTTGGTTATCTTGTTACATTTCGAAGAAATGCGCAGCGTTCCTCCTTCATGATGTCCTCCCTCAGAGCGCGTTCCCGGAGCACAGAGGCAGCAAACACTTTTGAAAATGTGGCTGATTTGACTGTTAAAAGTCCTTTTATTAAGCAAACGTTCAACTGAGACACACCTTTACTATAAAGTCGTTCAACTGAGACACACCTTTACTATAAAGTCATTCAACTGAGACACACCTTTACTATAAAGTCGTTCAACTGAGACACACCTTTACTATAAAGTCGTTCAACTGAGACACACCTTTACTATAAAGTCATTCAACTGAGACGCACCTTTACTATAAAGTCGAGCAAACAAATAGTTGTTTTTGGGTGTTTATCAAATTTCGAAGAAATGCACAGAGAGTTGTCCCTCTGCGCGCTCCTGCTTCCGCATATCGGTTTTTAAAATGCAGCTGATGCATTTATTAAGTAAAAGTTAGACTGAGACACACCTTTACTATAACTTTGAGCAACCAAATAATTGTTTTTAAGTGTCAATCTCGTTAAATTCTTATTAAAGTCTTGCTGTGCATGCTCCCACGGCCACCATTTGGTAGCCCATTGATTTTTGGCACAACACTGGCCCACATTTCCACGTTGTCAGCGGTGACGCATAATAGATGTGACTTGTACGGCGAAGCAACATGTTTGTTTTTTTCCACTTTATTAGGCATACTTGGACTTTTAAGGTGGTGTGACGTGTACGGCAGAAAAATAGGGTAATCCCCGTGATAAACGAGGGACTGCTCAAGTGGCCTTTCGACCTCAGTTCTCCTGTCTGAAGACACACAACAAACCCTAAAGACAAACCTGATGGTAGGTCCTTGCTTACCCTTCTCATAATGAGCTTTTCTACTGGAACTCTTCTCCAGAGAACCGTCCATGTAACCCTTTCCGATTTCTGACCAGATCTGATGGCGTTAGAGCAAAGACTCGTCAGAAAGGCACAAGAAGCACACCGTGAATGCGAAACAGAACGCTCATACCGAGTCATGGTTCTTGCGGAAGGAAATAACTTTGGCGTCATCTTTGAAGGGCTCCCCCAGACCCAGCTGGGTGACAGTCTTCAAAGCTAGACCCAGCAGGTGGGCACACAGCGGGATGTGCTGGGCCTCCGGGAACGAGATCCACTTTCCCACCAGCTCTTCCACTACCTGGATTAAAAACGTTGGTGAGCAACAGAAAGGATACTTTTTATTTATTTAATGGTTTTTAACTTAAACCAAATCTGCTTGAGGTGAAATAGATTGTCCGTGTTTAGCTGTTGGTGACAGAGGTTTTCATCAGCGGCACAAACCTGGAGCACAACAGAGAAGTTGTTCTTCAGGCTGTTGTTGATGGCGCTCTCATACAGCTTCTTCCTCATCACTGACTCGTTGCCGCCCCCGCCCGTCCCCGACTGGTAACCGAGCAGCGACTTCAGCATGGTCTCAAAGGAGTCAGCTGGGGATCAGAAGAGGAAGCGTTTGGTTATTTGGCCCAGTATGAACAAATCCTGTGACTGGTAACCTTACTGGTGTGGTTGGGGTTGATGTGCTGCTGTAAGGGCTTCACAGAGCCTAGGCTGACTACTGGACGACCCCCGAACCAGAACGACGCCACCGATCCGAACTCCTGATGCAGACTGACCAGGAACTCGTGCAGGCTGCCTTTGTTGATGATGTCCTGCAGGTTCCCATCTCTGTGGAAGCAGAAAAATCCAACATCTAATATTTGTGTTCAGATGTTTATACCAGCATTTTTCTATACTTTTACCATCATCTTTGTACAGTAAAACAGCTGCTCGGAAACAGGTTTGTATTAGGGATGCACAATATTATCGGCATGGTATCAGCTGATATTAAACGATAAAGTTAAAGATCCGACATTTCATCAAAATAACTCACCGACATAAAAGGTGCCGTTTATATATATATATATATATATATATATATATATATACATACCCTTTCCAAAAAATTAGGATATCATGGAAAAGTTGTTTAACTTCCATAATTTCATTCAAAAAGTTCATCTTTAATAGATGATATGTTCAGGACTCGCATTTTAAATGATTTCAAGTATTTATTTGTTTATTTTTACATAATTTGGGCTTCCAGCTCATGAAACTCACGAAAACAGGATTTCAAAAAATTAGAATATTGTGAAGACATCAGCCCACACTTCTCAGTTTTTGCAGGAAAAAAAAGAAAGAAATTAGGATCACAACAAATCAATCAAAATATGGTTCTTTCAAAACAATATGACAATCTTCAATACTTGGTTGGGAATCCCTTTGCCTTAATCACTGCCTCGATGCGAAGTGGTATTGAGTCAATCAGCCTGTGGCATTGACTGGGAGTTATGGAAGCCCAGATTTCCTTGATGCTTGCTGTCAGCTCTTCTTTCTTGTTGGCTCTGGTGCTCCTCATTTTCCTCTTGAGAATACCTCATAGATTCTCAATGGGGTTTAGGTCCCGCGAGTTGGCTGGCCAGTCAAGCACTGTGGCATGGGCATCAAACCAGGTTTTGGTGCTTCTGGCGGCATGGGCAGGGGCCAGGTCCTGCTGGAAGATGAAATCTGCATCTCCATACAGATCCTCAACAGAAGGAATCATGAAGTTCTCTAAAATATTCTGGTAGACTGTTGCGGTGACCTTGGATTTAAGAAAGCAGAGTTTACCAACACCTGCACCAGACATTGCAGAACAAATCATGACTGACTGTGGATATTTCACACTGGACTTCAAACAGTATGGGTTTTGTTCCACACCCTTCTTCCTCCAAACCCTTGGACCTTGATTTCCAAATGAAAGGCACACTTTACTTTCATCGGAAAAGAGGACCTAGGACCACTGGTCAACGGTTCAGCCCTTCTTCTCCTTGGCCTGGTTGAGACGCTTCCTACGTTGGCTCAGATTCAGAAGTGGCTTGACCCGAGGAACCCGATAGTTGTAGCCCATCTCCCGGATGCGTCTGAATGTGGTGGTTTTTGAAGCTGTGACTCCCGCCTCATTCCACTCTTTCTGGATCTCTGCCAGATTCTGAAATCTTCTCTGTTTGATAATCCACGGAAGCCCACGGTCATCTCTTTTGCTGGTGCAACTTCTCCTGCCACATTTTGCACTTCCACTAGACTTTCCATTGATATGCTTGGACACAGCACTCTGTGAACAGCCAGCCTCCTTAGCTATGAACTTTTGTGGCTTTCCCATCCTATAGAGGGTATCAATGATGGTCTTCTGGCCAGTTATGTCTGCATTCTTCCCCATCTTGAACCGAAATGAGACAATTGAACAAAACTGAAGCAATTTAATGACACCTGGGGAAACCTGTGCAGGTGCTTTGAGTTTAGTAGATGATTAGTGTGTCACACTCAGTTTAAAACATTCATGCCTGCAACATTTGGGCTGATTTCTCCACAGTATTATGATTTTTTGAAATCCTGTTTTCATGGGTTTTATGAGCTGGAAGCGCCAAATTATGTAAAAATAAACAAATACATATTTGAAATTGTTTAAATTGTGGGCCCTGCATCTATCATCTATTAAATATCAACTTTTTGAATGGAATTACAGAAGTTAAACAACTTTTCCTTGATATTCTAATATTTTGGAAAGGGTCTGTATACATACATATACATATATATACAAACTGGAATCCAAAAAAGTTGGGACACTAAACAAATTATGAATAAAAACTGAATGCAATGATGTGGAGATGGCAAATGTCAATATTTTATTCATAATATAACATAGATGACAGATCAAAAGTTTAATCTGAGTAAATGTAACATTTTAAAGGAAAAATATGTTGATTCAAAATTTCACAGAACAAATCCCAAAAAAGTTGGGACAAGTAGCAAAAAGTGGCTGGAAAAAGGAAATTGAGCATATAACAAACAGCTGGAAGACCAAGTAACACTAATTAGATCAATTGACAACATGATTGGGTATAAAAAGAGCTTCTCAGAGTGTCAGTGTCTCTCAGAAGCCAAGATGGTAAGAGGATCACTAATTCCACCACTGCTGCACAGAAAGATAGTGCAGCAACACCAGAATGGTGTTACCCAGCGTAAAATAGCAAAGACTTTTAAGTTATCATCATCAACCGTGCATAACATCATCAAAAGATTCAGAGAATCTGGAACAGTCGCTGTGCGTAAGGGTCAAGGCCGTAAAACTCTACTGGATGCTCGTGATCTCCGGACCCTTAAACGTCACTGCACCTCAAACAGGAATTCCACTGTCAAGAAAATAACAGAATGGGCTCAGGAATACTTCCAGAAAGCATTGTCAGTGAACACAATCCACCGTGCCATCCGCCGTTGCCAGCTGAAACTCTACAGTGCAAAGAGGAAGCCATTTCTAAGCAAACTCCACAAGCTCAGACGTTTGCACTGGGCCAGGGGTCATTTAAAATAGTGTGGCAAAATGGAAGACTGTTCTGTGGTCAGATGAGTCACGATTTGAATTTCTTTATGGAACATTGGGACGCCATGTAATCCGGACCAGAGAGGACAAGGATAGCCCAAGTTGCTATCAACGCTCCGTTCAGAAGCCTGCATCACTGATGGTATGGGGTTGCATGAGTGCTTGTGGCATGGGCAGCTTGCATGTCTGGAAAGGCACCATTAATGCAGAGAACTATGTTCAGGTTCTAGAACAACATATGCTCCCATCTAGACGTCATCTCTTTCAGGGAAGACCCTGCATTTTTCAACACGATAATGCCAGACCACATTCTGCAGCAATCATAACATCATGGCTACGTAGGAGAATGATCCGGGTATTGAAATGACCAGCCTGCAGTCCAGATCTTTCACCTATAGAGAACATTTGGCGCATCATAAAGAGGAAGGTGCGACAAAGAAGGCCCAAGACGATTGAACAGTTAGAGGCCTGTATTAGACATGAATGGGAGAGCATTCCTATTTCTAAACTTGAGAAACTCATCTCCTCTGTCCCCAGACGTCTGTTGAGTGTTGTAAGAAGAAGGAGGGATGTCACACAGTGGTAAAAATGGACTTGTCCCAACTTTTTTGGGATTTGTTGACGCCATGAAATTTGGAAACAACAGATTTTTCCCTTAAAATGATACATTCTCTCAGTTTAAACTTTAGATCTGTGATTTGTGTTCTATTCTCAATAAAATATTAGATGTTGGCACCTCCACATCATTGCATTCAGTTTTTAGTCACAATTTCTTTAGTGTCCCAACTTTTTTGGAATCCGGTTTGTATTTTATTCTTCAGTATTAGCATTTTTCTTGGTCACAATACCATTCGTACTAAACAGAATTGAAATAAAAAATAATTTATTTTCAAATAACGACAAAAACAATTTACCATTCAAGATCCACAAATCCTAATGTACTAGTAAAATATAAGTTGAAAATATTGGATAAAAAATATCCTCTAACCACACTCGATGGCAGACTTTTAACTCGTTTTACTTGCAAGGACTCATTCGAGACGAATTACATCAACAGATACACAATGCATGGATTATGTCACTGAATGAGCCTCTAACAGAGTTTGCTGCAGAGTCCTGCGAGCGCTACCTCATTAACAGGTGCAGTCAGACGCATAGACATGATCCGCAATAAAAAGATTCATAACAGAAAATCCCTGACAATGACAACAACAAAAAAAATTAAAAAGTTTAACTGCTTGAGTAATGAACACCTGTGTATTGCAGATTTCTGTTATTATTAGTAAGAATGTCTAATAATCAGAGTAATATTTAATTTCGACTATCTGCAGCACGTCTCCAATCTAACCACTTAAACCTTTCAGGAATATGTAATGATTTAATCTTGCTTTTTACTAGTAAAATTAGAATTATTGTAAATTTAACGTCTGTAAGAATGCAGATGGAAATATGTTTATCATATTTATTCATTTCAGCTCAAGCTGTTCGTGCAAAATATTGTTGCATTGTTTGCTCAGCTTAACCTCCAGCTGCCCTTGGGTCAAAAAGACCCATGAGGCTTAAATCATTCATGGGCAGCAGGAGGGTTAGGTTCTATTTATAAATTGTCAACATGCTGATAATACATACAACTTACTTCTCATCTGTAGGGTAGAGACCTGGGATCCCAGAAGCCCTCCTGGATGACTGCAAACATGATTTGAAACTGATTAACCAAATTAAACATCAACTTATTTTTACTTCAGGGAAATGTCCTTGCAATATAATTTAGATACTAATTCCACATTTACCACCACATAATAATGTTCGAGCAAATTTGGGATAACTTCCTTCATTATGCATGTTAGTTAAAAATCGTTCACAGAATTGGATATTGGTCTTCCTTTTCAATAATCAAACATTTCTCTTTTTTTAATTAGAGACCAATTAACATCTTTTAAGTTGTGCTTCATTAAAAACACTTGCCGAATTTTAGGTTAAAGTAACGCCGACAAATGCACGAGCTCGAAAATATTCTATACTTTTAGAAATTATGGCATATGAGCCACATTACGTTTGTGTAAAACAGACGAAAGCTTAAATCAAACATTTTCTGATCGAAGACTGGCGTGGCAACAGCCTTGAAGCTAACGCTGCTAGCTAAGTTTTAATGAAGTGTATTACCGGGTACAAATAAAGAACAGCGCCGACTAAAATGATGACAAACGTCACAGCGAAGATGGCGAAGTCCAGCATGACTGGGTTGCTCACTCTTTAAAGCGTTTATCAGGATATATTTTTAGCATAAATTAGAAAGATTACCACGTCAACATTGCTCTCTGTGCTCGACCACACAGCCTAGATTATAGCGCAGAAGTAGGCAGACGAAAGTAGTCGAACTGGAATCGACGAGGGTCGATGCAACCATAGATATAAACACAAGATACAGCATTGACCGCGGTGCGGTGACGAGCCGTAGGGCCGCCATCTTGGAACGGTCGACCGCTCCACTCAGTGTAACCTGTTTGACAGGCGCAATAAAGTATCTGCGCGTTTAATCAGTCATAGCTGAATACTAAACTCATTCTCACGATTTTTTTCCCCTCTGTAAATCTTAGGCGTACAGCCATTAAAGCTGAACACATGGTTCAGTGTATTTAAATATTCTTGGTGGGGTTAAAATTAACACTAATAAAATATTCTTATTCAATTCAATTCAATTCAAAAATACTTCATTAATCCCAAAGGGAAATTATTTGTTGTTGTAACTCGTTATCCTCTTTTTAAGAGATGTTACAGATACTGATGGCTGTAGACAGGAAGGATCTCTTGTAAAGGGCCATCCCACAGTGGATCCTAAGAAACTGGCTGCAGATGCCGTCCGATCCGTCCACCCAGACTCGGTTGGCCTCTTGTTTCCCCCGGGCTGTAGGACCGCCCGAATGCCGGGCAGAACTCCTCCCAGAGCGATGGCCACTTCTCCCAGCAGTCGCCGAGCTCCTCGTCGCTGCGGACAGCCAACTAGGTGCCGAGGGATGATCCTGTCCTTCCACGGTCATGAGCCATGTTTCCTGCTAGTTCCAGGATCTCAGTGGTCAGGCACTCGAGCACAGCTGGCAGGTAGATGAGAATGCATCCACAGAACATACTTTCAACTCATTAAGATTTGGGGCTGTAGTTGAGATATTATTTGAGCTTTTGAGATGTTAATCAACTG